CGCTAGATGGAAGTGTTGTGGGGCAATATGTTACATATATTACCAAAAATTGAAAACCCAATTCTTTTGCGTCTAATTTCATTTCACTCTAGCTACAAATAAAAGTTCGATGCCAACTGCAACAACTTTTAAACAAAAATTTGCATTGGTGGGAGATTTCAAAATATCTTATTGGCTACGTGTAAATGTATCGTAAATATTAGTCCACTAATCTTTAACAAAAAGGATGTTCCTAAATACTTAGAAGGGGGCTACAAGATAATGTAAACTTAAAAAATCTGTCTTTAATTGCCTCTTACTTGGCGTTGTGACTTGCAGATTAAATTTAGAAAACCTTAGAGGGTGGACACTCTCATAAAATTTCATGGTCGTATAATGAGTAGTTTAAAAGGACGGACTCTATCGGTTACTGGTTATAGATTTGAATGGGCCAGAAAAATGGCTAAAGTTTGACCACAAATTTTAAATATTCAGCCCCTGTTTACTGAATTATTTATTAAGATATTTTATTTCTGTAAAGCGTAATGAACTTTTTAATACAATTTCTACTATGTACCTTTTTGGAAATTTAAAATTGATCCATTAATAGCGAAAACCAGATAATCTCATACTCTTGACAATTTTAAGGCGTTGTAGTTTTTTTTTTGACAACAAAATTTTAAAAACGGAAAAGCAGTCTGGGTAGGGTTTTTTACGCTCATTTCAACGGTGTGAAGTTAATCTTCTGTTTGTGGGGACGAACTAGGTGTAATAATCCCCGCAGGTCAAGTAAATGATTCATGGAGAAAAACAAAACAATATTTTTAAGTATTTGGGGTAAAAGTAATTGTAAAAGTGACTGAATTACTCAAAAAAAAAGTAATTCGCTACAATTACTCATTACATTTTTTGAAAAGTAATGCATTATAATTACTCATTAAGTCATTACTTATTACTTCCAAACAATGCACGAAACTAACATCGCAACATCAATTTTTTAATTTTTTAATGCAGCGGGATTTGTCGGACTATAATTTAACGACTAGGAAAGTTCTGTCGAAATAACCTTCGACCATTTTTTTTTATTGTATCCAAAACGATATATTCACTTTTTGTGAAATTCTTAAAATAAAATCATCTTTCACCACCTCACAAATACATACATACTAAAATTGTGAAGTTTTGTATAAATAATTTTAGATAATTTTTTTAGCATGTACTGTATATCCTTTGTCACACAAAAACCTGAACTCCGGTCCAGGTTGGGTAGTCACTAGCTCAAAAACCTAATAATTCCGGTCCGCAATTTTGTTTTCTTTCTTCTGTATTTTCTTCTTCGTGATTTTCATCTTTCCAGATCAGTTTCAATTTCTTCCAATATCTTATTTTTAAAATTGGTAGTATTTGCTTTTTCCATTAATTTTTTCAAACTGTAACCAATTATTTTCTCCGCAAAGTGTGCTTTAGAAGTTTGCTTCGTATCTTAATACAGATAACATTTTTTTTCTTTTCCAACTTTGTTTATCTAAATTAAATATTACTTTAACTTTTCTCTCTGTCTTTGTAAATGTTTAGAATGTAAAATATTTAGAAATCATCGGATTGTTATGAAATTTCTAAAACGTAAAGTTTTTTTATTTCTATTTTCTACTAAATCTCATTAATTGTAAACTTCGAAATTCTGAAACGAATGAGAAGTTACTGGCTGTATTTCAAAAATTTAGAATTTGCTACTTATGGCATATATGTACTTATAATTAAGAACTAAATGTATTTTAAGAGAAATTTGATTTTAAAATAATACGAAATTGAATAGAACAATAGGTATATTTCCATTGTTAAGTTGTTGCATTCCTAGACGAACTAATCTTTTACTTTATGAATACATTTTTCACAATTACAACTGAACGAAAAACTTCACGGAGAATACGAATACTGTGTAAATGCGATGAATGCAATGTTGCCAGTTTTCGGGTGCCAGTTTGATACAAGTAAAGTCCCTAGATTACTAAAGTAACGCGAATAGGCGCCATTTTGGCTCAATAAAACAACCGCCAACTTTGAAAATGAGGACAATAATTGCTGGTATAATCAGTTATGACTACGAGAAATTACGAGTGTCTAACAATATGAATGTATTCTACGTGTTTTGGGTGCCTAAACTTTTATCTTAAAATAAAGTCAAGATTTCAGTTTTTAATCATTCTATTTATACACTAACTAAAAACAAAATTAAAAATTAATTGACCATGTCAACAAGGTTTCGCATTGCAAGACTACGACTACTTTTATTGCTTTTATTTTTTGTCTCCAGAGACTTATTTTTTAAAGAAAAATGAAGCCTACACTTCAAAAAAAATGTTGTCATCTTGTGTATAATATTGTGACATGTAGGGATGCGTAATTTGAGATTTTTCAAACAGATGATCAGAACAATTTGATGCAACACCCAGGCATTTTAATTGATTTTTGTAGAGCAAACACTTTGACACACTTGTTCACAAACGTCAGAATCAATTGTCAAACGGCCATTTTGGCTCAATTTGTGTCTGTCTTTGTCTAACACACGGGCCTAATGAATCGCGTTACTTTAGTAATCTAGGGACTTTAGATACAAGTACATAGTGGTGCCAGTTTGTAGTGCCATTATATCTGTATGTAAATCTGTATATGCAAGGGCGCCCTCTGGTGAGTACACCTTCCAACTAGTGGAATATAAGCGGAAATATATATTGTAAAAGTGGCACCAATATCTACGAAATTTCGTAGTTTTTCATTTCGATGTCAGATGACGCTAATGAGCCGACTCCCATTTAAAAACAAACTGGCACCCAAAGTCGGGTGCCACTTTGTAAAATCGGGTGCTACTATTGCAACGAACATACGTTTTGGGTGCTACAATTACAAAAAACATGTATATATATATATATATATATAAAAAAACTTCACAAAGGACAGTGAGCCGAACGTCCTATTTCCATTGTTTTTTACTGATATATGGAAACCGGATTTACTCATTTTGTCCTGTTTTATATTTTTTTTTTATAAAATAGTACGTCTATTTGCTTTATAATATTTTTACAATAAAATGTTGCATTTGACATACAGCAAATATGTGGTAAAACAATATTTTCATCTTTAAATGTAAAGGTAATATTTTGTAAAATACAGAAATCAGACACTTATTTTGGACAGATTTCTTATAAAATGAATTAATTCTTAGCTAATATATCACTTGCAAATTATCACGTTTATTACTACGTGGTAAGTATGCATTTCTTTATCTTGCCCTGAAAGGTTTAATGCTGTCAACATTCTTGTCATTTAATAGCTTTCTAATTTTCAGTCACCACGTCATTCATATTTTCATCTCTAATCAGCAGTTAGTTCTTTATCACCTATGTAGGTATTTAGTATGTATGAATTATTATACAGCGTGTTATTGAAAGGTACGTACAAAATAAAATCGGCAATTGGTCTCGAAGTATGGATGCTAAAAATAAAAAAAGTTGAGGTAAATGTGTTCTCCTTTTACAGATAAAAATTTTTAAAATGTATGTCCAAATTCGTTGTACCCCTCTGATAAAAAGATCATCTTTCGTTTCTATAGCAACATTTAGTCTTGACAAAAGTTTTATTGTTACAGTTGCTAGCATTTACTAAAATAAATTAATTTTACCTATTTATCCTTCAGTAGCGTCTAAAAAAGTTGGATAAAGGTTAATTTTCCCCTTATAATTTTGATAACACAAAATAAGGTTTTCAGACTTTTTAAACTTCGCGAATAACTGTCAATTTTGTTGTACGTACCTTTCAATAACACCCTGTATAAATTTATGTATTTCGTTTATTCCTATAAGTTCACGTTTTATGACCATCGATTTTTGCTATTATTTCTACGCATTCTAAAATTTCTTATCTGTTGGAGTAAAATAGCATTTGGTATTCTTAAACGAGGTACAATTGGGAGCACGGGGTAGTTTAAGCGTTAATTTTCCTAGTTACATTTTATAAAAAGTTATAGGCGTATATGGATTAAAATGTCAAAACATTTCAAATCACTGATTAGTTTTATCTTAAATTTAAATGCGACTGTCGTGTCATGTTGACATAAAATATCCGTTTGACATTTATTAGGGAAAAATTTAATTTGGCAAACCGAGATAAATGGAAGAATAAAGTATTCCGTGCTCCCAACTGTACAACGTTAATTTTTTCAGAAAAACACAAAATAAAAATAATAATAATTTTAAAATGTACAAAGTCAATCTCTGGAAGCAAGTAAGTCGTGTGTGATTCAGTGTAGTATTAAGTTCCCAAAGTTACGATATAAAGGATGAAAGTTAAACTTTGGTGTGGTGCTGTTGAAACTATTTATTATGAGATTAAACGTATATTTTATGGAAGACAAAATCACGAAAGTTAAAAACAAAAATCTAAAGCATTATATTAATTTCCATCTTCCAGTTAAACTTAAATTCATGGATTTCTAATTTAGAATTAATGCTGTCAAAATGAATGAGATATTAAGTTGAAGCAGAAGTTGAAAGAGAACATTAAAAAAAGTATTCCCTTTTTATTAAAACGAGAAGAGCCGAAAAGATAAATTTACTTTCGATAATAGCTTCCAACACCTCGACCAACACACACAATCGCGTAGTTCCTGTTTTAGATTGATAATGCCTGTTTGAAAAGACCGTGCTCTATAATAGCATCAATTTTCAGCTCAAACACTTTCATAAATCGTCGACTTCACTATTAAGCTGTCAATTCCGCCGCCATTTTGTCGTTTGAATCATGAAACCTAATTTCTATTTTGAAAACGCAAATTGGAAATTCCCGTTCGGTCTCTGATTAATTTCCAGATTAAAACTATCAATTCTCGTTTGGTTACGCATATCCGCCGGTAAAGAGGTTCCAGGAGTCGGCCACAAAAGTGCTTTAAAAACGGCGGTAGTGGGCATTTGATTGGTGAAAGCCGCAACTCGAAATAAAACGCACATATTACAAAGAGTGATTACCATTGAGGACGTGAACAACGGCCGATGCGGGACTAGCGTTGGACGGCATGCAAGTGTAATTTCCCGAGTCAGAAAGCAGAGCTTTGGTGACCAGTAATTTGCTGGTGGTGCCAGCCTCCGTTTTCTCCGTTTCCAGACTAATTCCGCCTCTGGGCGAGTCGAAATCTACCACGGAATGGCCGTGATACCAAAACACAGATGAGGGCGGCGTTGAATGGACATTCACTGAACACGTTAATGATATCGTGCTGCCCTTCTTCACGTACACTTCGGAGGGACCGGATATAGTGGCTTGGGCGTCTGCAACAAACAGTACAAATTTATTAGGATCGTTGACGTGTCTAGGCAGTAGCCATTTGTGCAATCATGGTACTGACGTGAGGTGGCACAATATTGTATCTTAATTCTTGAAAGATTCGGCTTAACTATTTTTAATATCCAGTACTCGTATTATAGAATATTGATGTTCTTTGAAATTGTCGTATCACGAAATGAAGTAATGCTGATGTGACAAGGGAGTACCTTAGGAGACGGAGGGGACGCCTATGGCAATTTTGCTTAGGAATATATTGAAGGGCCCTAGAAAGTGAAGACAAAGCAGAAATGTATGGTTTTACTAAAACTGGATTTAAGTAGGTACATTGTGACTAATTTTGAGTAACTTTTACTAAACTCGCCACCTCTTGCGAAAGTAAACATTATACTTAAATCATCCACCTGAAAATGAACTGAATAAATGGGAATATTTTTAAAATAATGTTTCTTAAAGCGTGATTATTTATTAGTACTTATTACTTAATGTATAACAGTGTTCATTTTAAATCTGTATTTATAAATAGAATTTATATTGTTAATTTCAACGATGGATTCATGTCTGGGTGATGCTTTCACAAGTCTTGAGTTGTTAGATTAAGCTGCAAATTTTAGTACGGTATATGTAATACAATGTATGTTTCGATATGAGACATAATAATTTAAGTAACAATCTGTGGGTTAAATTCAGATAATGTTCTAGCTTGTATCACCCCTGACCTTTCATTTAATTCAGAACTCAGGTACAGTATTGCGTCAAAATAAAAAAAAAACTCCGTTTTTACCTAATATGCTATTGTTTTCAAAACAGAGAATACCCTTCTACTAAACCATCGGTTTAAACTTAAAAAGATTCGATATCCCCATAATATGTATATGGGATCTCATTATAAATTTTTATACGTTATAAGTAATGGATCTTTGTAACATTGTCAGTTTACGAACTGGGAATGAAAGCATATTCTTCCTTCTTTTATTAATGATCAGTCAATATCAGTATTATGAATTTAACTTAATTATAAAAATAAAGATGATGATTATTTATAATTATATTAAGAATATTGACAAGATGCCGCTAGCCTATAAATGGATTTTGCACAATTTAACCAGTTTAGTTTAGTAATGTTATGACTATTTTCTAATTCCGAATAAGAACCGAACACAAGCATTTGGAACCTTCTGGACATTACTAACTATCTAAACAAAAAGTGTACACTAGTGAATAGAAATTAAAGTTTGAAGAATATCACATAATTCTATGCGAAAACGGCAGTTTTATATAATTGTAAGCTCTATTCATATAGTTAAATGAGATTTAAACTTAAGAGTACTGTGAAGGACAATGCCTGTTTTTATTTCTCGAGAGTAAGCTAGGGAAGTACATATTCTAATCCAGTGCATCGGGCGACTAGGTACTTTCATGTTTGTCGACTTTCATGGCCGCTAGAATACGAAAAAATAGGTGTCCAGTTTCCGTCTAACTATAGTCTGTGTCAATTTTTTCTTAGACAAATACCTTAATCTCCGAAACTATTGGACCCTATGTCGTCAAATTTTGTACGTATTTTTTTTAGATGGTAAAACGTAAGCCAAAATTTGTCTAATCATCCCCACCAACAATTTGATGATGTGCCCGCAAAATGTCTTACAGTAAAGGAACTTCTGCCGAAATGTCAGTTTAACATGGTAGTGTTGAACATTACTACAGTGTTGTCACAACATGACAGATAACTTACTATATTTTGTGTTGCTTTGTGATAATCTATAAATATAAAAAGAATATAAATAACAGCAGCAGGCGCTTATAAAAGCTTGATAGACAGTTTTAATTTTTTTGTGAATTATGTATGCTTCGGGTAACAACTCAATTCGGATTCATAAACTACAAGTACAGGAGATACTCTGTATAAAATTTTAATGACTTTTCCTAAAAAAAATGGGGAAAGATCATCAAATTCTTGATGGGGATGATTAGCCAAATTGTGGTTAACATTTTACCATTTACATGATATTCCTAATCTGCTTACATACAAAATTGAAAATAATCGGGCCAATAGTTCCGGAGATTATCTGTTTAATAAAAAAATTGATACCGACGACAGACGGATAGACGACAGACAGACGGAAACGGGAGACCACTTTTTCTGTAGTCTAGGGGCATGAAATGCTGAGAACATATGAAAGTGACAATTCGTCCGATGAAGTCGATTACTACACTTCCTTAGCTTCCGCTTGGAAAGTTAAAATGGTATGAAATACCAAAGATGGTCTAAAAATTGTATTTCTAAATGCGTCGTGAATTTCTTAGTGGAGGAGTTTGTCGTGAATGACCTTGTATTACTACCACACCTCAGCAATTGCTGCAATGGTTTGCTTCATATCTTGGCAATATAATTCAGACTGCTAAAATGGATCGAAACGTCACGAAAATATATTAATAACCATTGGTCCGATGGACTCGATTACTATACTTCCTTAGCTTACGCTCGGAAAGTATAAACATGTAGACAATTTTGTGAAAGGCCAAAAAATTGCAGTTCTTTTAAGGCTCGGACTTAACTTTGAATTTGTTGATACCCCTAAATGTTTCATGTAACCGTCAAACAATTTGTTTTTATTGATAAATAGGCTTTTGGGTTTTTGCTTCAATGAGATAAAATTTGGAAAATAGAATGTATAAACGACCAAACTGAACTGGCATATAAACCGACTTTCAAAATGGTGAGAATGACAATACAGGTTAGTAACGACAGGACATTTTCAGTTGACACAAAAATAATGCCACAAAGTAAACAACTTCCTGGGAAAATGTTTATTATTTCCCAAAAAATACTATTTGAGATATCCATGGGGACCACAAGTTAAGATTTGTTTTTGTTTTTTGGAGTTTCATTATAAAAATAGGTACACTTACCGGCAAAAAAACCGGCCACCCTGAAAAATTTCGCACAACCAAACTTTAAAAGTTATTAATTTAACTAGTGATCGTTAGTTTATTAAAGAACCATTCACTATGGGCACATGAAGTATAAATTGCCAAAAAAGGAGAAGACAATTAAACGCAGAATTAAATTTAATTTAACAAAATAACAGAAACAGAGCGACAATTTGAGAGACGTCTATAACAGTTAGCTGTATTGTTTTCGCGTGAAAACGTTTATTAACTGCCAAACTTATAATCAAATGATGAAAAACACTGTTTACAACAACAGTCTTCTTTATTGTTTTAATTAAGAAAATATGTTACTTGGTCTGTTTCTGTTATCTTGTTAAATTAAATTTAATTCTGCGTTTATTTGTCTTCTTTTTTGTACTAATTTGTATATCATGTGTCAATAGTGAATGGTTCTTTAATAAAATAACGGTCACTAGTTAAATTAATAGTTTTTAAAGTGGTTTTGCGAAATTTTTCAGGGTGGCCGTTTTTTTTTGCCGGTCAATGTATAAGACCTCGTTGATATCTTCCGGGAGCAAGTTATCTGTAATATCTGCCGAGAAAATATTCTCGAAGAAATACACTTTAAGTAAATTAAATACTTTAATAATTAAATATACAGCGTGTTATTGAAAGGTACGTACAAAATAAAATCGACAATTGGTCTCGAAGTATGGGTGCTAAAAGTAATAAAAAGTTCAGGTCAATCTGTTCTCCTTTTAGAGACAAAAGTTATTAAAATTTATGTCCAAATTCGTTGCACGCCTCTGATAAAAAGATCATCTTTCGTTACTATAACAACATTTAGTCTTGACAAAGTTTTATTGCTACCGTTGCATACGTACCTTTCAATAACACCCTGTATATATGTATATATAATAGATATAATAACTGGCAACGTTTCAAACCGATTATTAATTTTTCGTGCGGTCTGTTGGTCAACGTCTTGATGGTTTGCAAGACACCCTGAGTTTTATATTTGACTTTATTTTTTGAGTTATCGGACCTAGTCTTCAAATTATTCTCTCCAACTCAATCAATTAAAAAACTGAGGATTTACGTAATAAATGAAAAATTTTCTTTAAAATTGTTTCCGCAGAAAATATAATCCACGTATAATTTTGGATCCTTAGACTAATTAGAGTATTATTTCTTTAAAGTGATTTATTTGAATTGGTACACAAAATTAAAACCGCTCACTGATCAATTGGGAAATCCCAGTCGGATTTATTAAATTTTAAAGACACGTGTGTTTTAACTAGCAGCAACGGTATATTTGCTATTTACACGTTGATCATGAGCTTTTAGTAACTGGATCTATCTAATTGTAATATAACAGCTTCGATGAACGGAAAGTGCTCAATTTGAGCCTTTAGCTGATATGAATTTAAAAAAAAAAAAGTTATATTGATTCAGAATGCAGTGTGTTTTTGATCAATATGTTTGACATATTTGCTACCAAAAAATAAAAAAGTCAGGGCACAATATATAATTATGAGGGACTAAAGTTAAATCTGTGAAAAATATGGCTGATATGTATGCTATTTTAGTAATAAGTATTAAATAATTACTCGAGTTTGCGTTAATTTATAAAATATTTTTGATCGTTGTGTGAGTCACAAATCTTGTTACGACTAGCTAGATGCTCTCGTATTTTATAAGATTTTTAGAAAACCAAGTCCATTCTTAATACCTCTAATAAGGTTATATGATTTTCGTCGACCATCTCAACTTTTCTTACGGCTTAACAACAATTAATAATTCAATGCTTTGTTATAAATTTTTTTTAGAAGTTTAAGGGCATACGGAGAACCGCAATAGAAGAAGATTTAACAATGACGAGGCCGGAAATTTACGTTGACGATTATTGTTTGAAAATTTGCTTTAAAGCTTATCGACACCCTTGCAATAGATTTACAAGTATAGGGAAACTAAAGATCGTCCCTAAACCACCAAATTGCTAAATAAGTGAAGAAGTACCTAAAGCACGCACGTGGTGCGGGGAAAGCCGCAGGCAAGTTATAGAAGTTGGAAGTAGGTTAGTTCCAGGAAC